GTTAAAGTATTAGGAAAAGTGCTTATGTAAATGCTTGTCTGTTCAGTACAGATAATCAGTCGCGTAGATAGCCAAAGTAAGTTTCAGATGTTTACACCATTTGCCGGCCGAAATGTTGGCGTACCGCGGAGGTACACCAACATGGCGGCTGCATACTGGTCTCTGTAAATTTGTGCAAAATATTTCGACGAATATCTGAGCCTAAGAAAACGCACTGACTTAAAAATTAGAGGAGTGTCATCTTTATTAATCTCCTACAACATCACAATTTCTTGATTTTACGCACTAAATGGTTTTCGAATAAACTTTTTATTGCGTCAGGATTGCGTGACAGTGCAAGCCAAGAATTGTTTTGCTGGGGTCAACATACATTAGTTTCTTTCAGCTTAAATGTACAATAATTCGCTACATGAGTTTCACTCTTGTTRAGACACATAACTCTGTTACAAGCAAATAACGAGAGAATATCGTTTAGTTCGAGATTTTATCTTTATTATACTTTACGAAGTTTCTCAGAGCATTTTACTTAGGTGTACTCGAACAGATGAATTCGTAAACAAATTCTCTAAGCTTTCTGCTCTTGTCGCTCAGACGTTCTTGAGCTCGTGCTGGGATTCTGCTTGGTTCACGATCACGTCTAAAAATACGAACGTGCTTCTGAAGATGCTTTTTATCAAGTTGAAGAGTTGATAGCCCTGGTTGATGGCTCCTTTGGTATAACATGATTCATGATTCGCTCAAAATGTTCGCTCATAAATTGATCTCTCATAAGGCTTGCGGCGACCTGTTCCGAAAACGCTTAACATCCTTTAGTGTTGGTCTACCTTGAATGGTGTGTTTGTTTGTGTGATTTCATCACCCTAGAAATCATGTAATCTGTGCCAACTTTTCTCGACGACAACCTCTGTAAATTCCACTGAACATGGAAAAAAATGGAGCCGAAATTTAAACCCAGGCCTCACTGCCTGGTTAATTAGAGTAAGTAGTGTTAGTAGTTGTATTACTGTTGTAAATAGTTAGCACTTCTGTAATTAATAGTTGTAGTAATGTTGTAAAAAATAATTTTAAAAAAATTCAAGCTACATATTTTCACCAAATTAAACGGGAGAGGTAAGGATATTTTTTTAAAAGGAAACTCATTTATATTATAAGATATACTTTACGGCATTCTGTTTTGGTTTCATTCCTGTCAAGTTTGCTAGGTCTCTTTAAACTACTAGTGAAATAAATTTCAGTAAATATTCATTAATGCAGAATTTCCTTGCTGTAGGACTCTGCACGAGCAACAGAAACTGAAATTTGCTTCATCAAAAGTTGAGTTAAAACTTTGACAACGTTGCTCCAAATGCAGAGCATATCGATAAGCAGAACTGTGCTGTCAAGGAGAAGCCTAGTGAATTATTTGGTTGCTTTGATCCTGGAAATACAAGCAGCATAGCTATTATGATACACTTGATGATAATGATATTTTCCCTACAGACATTGATAATGTCCTTGTCTGCTCTTTGAATGAAAATCAAGGGAGAGTTTTTTAATCATGTTTTACATTCAATCAAAACTAAAGATCACATGCTAAGATTATTCTTAAAAGGAGGTGCTGGTGTTGGCAGAAGTACTGTTATCAATGCATTGTATGAAGCACTGATAAAGCATCTCAATACTATTGAAGGTGAAAATACAGATAATGTGAAAGTTGTGAAAACAGCCCCTACTGGTAAAGCAGCATTCAACATACAAGGTAACACATTGCATGCTGCTTTTAAGAGATGCCTGCCAATAGAGGTTTTGAGTAGTGTGTACTGGACAGTGACAGACTGAATACTGTAACTAAGGCTTTTTTATTGATGAAATTTCTATGGTTAAGGAAATGGTATGTTCAACTTTTTGAATTTACAACTGCAGCAAATAATGAGAACCAAGGAGCCATTTGGTGAATATGTTTGGTGACTGTTGGATATCGTTTTCAGCTAAAACCAGTTTCTTGATAAGCAGATCTTTGAAAATTGTCAATCTGGCTACACTTTAGGAACTAGCATTTGGACAGAATTCTTCATTCTCTTTGAACTGATAGAAATGATGAGACAAAAAGATGACAGACAATTTGCACATCTACTGAATCGTTTGATGGGGGGAAAAATCTATAAGACGATATAGCCATTATGAAACAAAGACTCTTGAATGGAACACCAGAAAATGATATCTAATGAACACAACACATTTATTTACTGTAAAGGCATCAGTAGATGCTCACAATAATGTCCTAATCTATATATTCTCTCTAAAACCGCTAAAGCTAAGATTAAGGCTGTGGACATGATAATTAGAGATATTTCAGATGTCAAGACACAAATATAAGATAAAATCCCAGGTGATCCAACAAAGACAATGGGGTTGTATTTATTAGTATCAGTAGCAACTGAGGTAAAATATGACTTGACAACTAATGTTGGCATGACTGATGGACTAACAAATGGCCCAGTTTGTCATAGAAAGCATAGACCACAGATTTACACTTCCATCAGACAGAATGTGGCACAGCTGTTCCAGTTTTTCTGAAATGTTCATTTCAAAATGGAATCCAAGTTTCTCTTGCTATGTCAATTATTACATATAGGATATATGGCTGTACAGAGTTCCAATTACAAGCAAACATATAATTTTCGTTTTGTTAATAAAACTTAAAATGAAAGAGCTGTGCAGAGTTTTTCAACCATTTACTGGAAAATCATGTCATCAGACTTTGTTCAGTTTTCTAAGTTCAAGTTGCTTTATTACCTAGTTATAATTTCAATCTTACAACTGAAGTCATGTCAAGTAAAAATAACTTATTTGTAATTCTCAATATAAGTTTTAAAGAAGTTAATCCTTGTCATCTGTCTATCAACCAGGGAATCCTCTTCCTGGGTTTGACATCCATACTTTCACGAAAGTATAAAACATTCTGTAAGTGCCCCTATAGCATGAGTTTAAATCCCTTGTTTGATTTGGTTTAATCTTTAAAGTCACACTAGGTGGCTCGTCACGTGCTCTTAAGTTGTCTCACATTTCCATACAGAACACATGTTGTGCTAGACATCTATTATGTAATTCAATATAATTTAGGAAAAAAGGACCTTTGATCAGTTTTCGCAAGCACTTGTGCTCCGAAGGAAAAGAAATTACGTCCTATTGCCTGTTAGTCACATCGAAGGAAGGAAAGGTTCTATTGATGTCATCTCTCCCCAGATCCGGCAATAATGTAAGTCTGATTTACTTGGAATATTTCTTAAGCTATTTGCTTGGCCCTAATTTCGTAAATCAATTGTTTTTAGTTTCACAATATGATACAACAATAAAGAAGGCGCTCCTAAAGAAGTTTGGTGTGAAAGACGTCTCTATCCGTGGATTTTGTGCGGTCCAGCTAGCGGTGGACAAGTACCGCTATACATTCGACCAGTGTTCAAAGTTCTTTAATAATTTTGACAGAGATCTTGAAATGACCAAAGATTTTAGCAAAGCTTTTATACACTCCAAATTGGGTTGCTATTTTTACTTAATGAAACAAACTAAGGTATAGGAAAACATTACCACTTTCTGCAAAGGTATATACCAAAGGCTTGCATTATTTTCTAAAATAAATGTGATATGATTCGATTGGGAGTCCTTATTGCTCTACAGATGCTCACCTAGTTGCATTCCAAGTTGGTTGACACTCATTAGTTGCAACAAAGGCGAAGGACATAACTTAATTGAATATTTAAGACATACCATGAGGTAGCTCCAAGGAGCCTTTGATATGACCATGGATGCATACAGCACATAGCTAACTGCAGACTGCATTTTGTGTTAGTTGCTCAACTATGCCAGCCAAAATGTATTGGACGGTGGCTGATTGTTTTCACTTATTTGTACACTGAAAAGGCTGCAAGGGGGGTTTTAGAGATGAGGAGAAAAGGTAACTTACAGTTTGGAGGAAGCCAGTTACATGCCTGGTTGTTACCCTGAAGGATAATTTGGTGACTGTTTGTTTTTGGCAAATAAATTCCATTTCAGGAACCCAGAAGAAATGGCTCGACAAGAGCAAGCATGGGGAGACAAGAGGAGCTTGTGCAGAAATTTGAACAGGAATGAATCAAGACATTAACCAACAAGAAACTAGTGAGACAATCTCAGGAAGTGCAGAGTGTAATGTATAGCTCTGACACAGTATTCATAACACAGTTCCTATATAACCCCTGCCATTCACTCGGTTTGTATTGACCTTGCTAGTCAGCTAGGGATTTTGATGAGACATAATCTTAGCAGTGTGTATGTCTGATGTGTATATTTTCATTCACAGCCCAAGAATAAGTTACAGTCAATTACAGTTTGTCAATACGGCTCTTGAATTTTACTGCAGTGTTTTACATTGATTTTTGCTCATTTTAAATTAAATAATACATTTGAGTAACGAACGTGACAATTTTACTTTTCATGCAAATGTTTGTGATACTTTTGTTTTCCTCACAAAGGTATGTAGCCTGAAACTCTTGTTTTCTCAAAAACACACGGAAGATGTGCTTGTATTCTTTTATCAACTGAAGATAAATGGAAGAAAGTTGAATGTGGGACGAAGAAGTGGAAGAGGAACGATTTGCTTTATTAACAGGCAAATTTTCTTTTGACTGATAAACAAGAACTAATCTCATTATCAAATTGTCACGGAACAGCATAAAGGCTGTGTTTTCACTAGGCCGATTAACTAGCTGAACATTCTTCCTAGGTGTTTGTTTACAGGCTGACATTAGCTAGTTAAACATGACATCTGTTTTTACTGGGAAAATTTTAAGCCACTAATAACTCGGAAGATTCAAATTACAAATCCGCACGAGTTTCAAAAGTGGCGGGAGAGGAAGCACTTCTAATGAGTTCACTAGACTGATTCTTGCTATATTTTTGTGAAAGTTTCGTTCAAAGGATGTGATTAATATCTCGGCAGATGCAGAGGATGCGACAGAACGTTGTAATCCTGGCAATTCAACACCAAAACAACATATATTGCCGTAAGCGCAAGACAATGTGGGTCTTTTCAAGGCCGCAGTTTTGGTTCGAACAGCTCGTTGTAAATCTTTACCAAGATCATCTGTGGTGTGAGCACTTCAGAGTGACCAGAGATACTTTTGAACACATCTGTGGACTCGTTGGCCTTGAACTGGCACGACAGAACACAATTCTTTGCCAGCCTATCTCCGTAGAGAAGCAGGTTACCGTTGCTCTTTGGAGATTAGCTACTGGGAATTCATATAGAACCATCAGGCTAACCTTTGGAATCAGTCGATGCACTGCTATGAATGTAAAGGACGAATTCTGCACTGCCTTGTCACAAAGAGTGCATGATTTTATCAAATTTCCCAAGAGTGAGGCCAAAACTGGGCAATCCATACAGGAATTTCAGGACATTAGCCGTTTCCCTCGGGTCTTAAGCAGACTTGATGGATCCCATATTCCAATCAGGGCGCCCAAAGAAGATCCAAACGAGTGTGTTAATCGGAAAAGCTTCCACAGCATTGCTTTGCAGGGAGTCGCTGGTGCTAATGGCAAGTTTTTGCATGTGAGTACTGGCTATGCAGGAAGTATTCACGATGCTCGCATGCTACGAATGAGCTCACTACTACCTGCAATAGAAAACGGCGACATCTTGCATGCCCAACGCGTGGGATAGGTGGCACCCAAGTAAAACCACTCATTGTTGCTGACCCAGCTTATAAACCATTTCCTCAGACCAGAGCCTTAACCGATAGCCAACGAGATTTCCATTAATCATTGAGCAGTGCAAGAGTGTTTGTGGAGCAGACATTTGGACTGTTGAAGGGGAGGTGGAGGTGCCTACTGAATAAGCTGGATGAATCAGTGGAGAAAGTGTCCTCTACAGTTATTGCCTGTTGCATACTACATAATGTTTGCCTGGAGGTTAATGATCCCACTGAAATTGATGTTGTCAGTGATGGGAATGGATTTCCTAGAGTGCCTCTGCCAGGCCATGATATCAATGAGTACGGTGCTAGATTAAGAAACATCTTTAAAAAAAAACTTGTACTGAAGCTTTATTTTTTGACATTTTTCCTGCAAAGATTAGTTCATTTTCATTTCAGTTTTCATATTTTAAGCAAAAAAAATTGTCATTCTGGTACTTCTTATTTCATTATTAACATGTATGTAACAATAAAAAAAATGGTATATATGAAAATTTCGAATTAAATTGAAAAATTATATTAATGTGATTGAGAAAGTTCACTTCAAACAAGTTCAACAGTGACAACAATGAAACACCTATGTACTTGTTGTTCACTTCAAATAAGAAAATCTATGTACTCGCTTGATTTTTACTTCAAACAAGTTCAACAGTAACAATAATAAAAATTAAAAATCTGTGTACTTGATGTACAAAAACTTGTGTCTGAAAGGAACAACTATGGCCCTGTTGCACAACTCCTGGACTTGGCTATCGAGTGTTAATCAGCCACTTTTCCTTCAGCTGCCCCTTTTCAGTCTTTCTACCCTGCAGTTTTCCAAGAGCTACAAGGGACGCAGCTGCCATTGAAGAGATGTTTTCCTCCTCATCAGAAACATGCAGACCTCAAGGAGGGTCAAGTAGTCAAAGCTAAGAAAATGGTGCAAAACCAAGCCAAACCAAGTGGTCCGATACTCAGGTTTTGGTGCTCGTCGAAGAGTGGAAGGAAAGGGTGAAAGAAGTGGAAAGTAGTAGAAGTTTGGCAGAAGATTGTTGAAGTGGTCAACAAGGCAGGCCCTTTTAAAACAATGAAGCAATGTAAAGACAAACTACGAAACTTGAAGCAGGCTTTCAAAGATGCGAAGACCAACAATTCGCAGACCGGACTGGCAGCAAAAACCAGTCCCTTCTTAGATGTGTTTGAAGAGGTTTGGGCTGAAGACCAGTTGTGAAAATGCCTAGGGGGCTTCAATCATGCAGCAAATCAACTACAAGTAATTTGCCTTCATTAAGCAAATCTTTGCATGCTGATTCAAGCGACTCCAATGGTGACGCAGATTCCTTGCTTAAGGAAGGAAAAAAACAAAAGAAAGAAGGCCAATGCCAATGAACCAGCTCAAAAGAAAGCAATCAAAATGCTTTCATAGAATTGTCTTCAAAAATACTCGAAATGCAGAATCCTCAAGTGAAAGCGATTAAGCGAGCACAAACAAGAGCAGAAGGGCTTATGCTCAAGATAGAAATCAAGCAGAGGAAAATTGATGAAGAAAGCAGAAGAAGGGATCAGGTATTTTTCCTTCGCATTGCAGAACTTTTGAAAAAATAAGTGAAAACTTACTTGAGTATGAAACAAAAGACATCGAATATAACAAGTACTAGAAAAGGGCATGGACATGGGCTTTGCTGTTTACACTAATTGCATGACAGTTTTGTTACTTTGGTAATAGGTAAAATATAATTCCATTATATACATGAATCGTTGATGTTGTTACAAATCTCCTTATTTTTGATTCTATTCATGAACTGTTCACTCTTCATTGAAAATAAAATGGGTTTAGCATGCATATGCTTATATAACAAAACAAAACAATAAACAGTTGTGTTTCTAGTATGACCTACAAGCTGTCCACTCATAATAACTATTGCTTGATGAATGGCTTGAGCTGCCAGATTCCATACAGTGTGATGTAGACATCTGGACTGCAAATATTCTCTCTCAATGACTCTTCTCAAAATCTCATGGTCGTCTAATTCTCCTGCTTCTTGACAAAAATTGTGTAAAATGCAGCATGTGAGCATTACTACTGGTATATTGATAAACCTGTTATCCATTCTCTTTAGCAAAATTCTCCATCTCCCTTTGAGAACACCACAAGCCCATTCAACAGTTGCTCTAGCTGGCAGGATTCGATGTCCTGTGGACAGAAATCTTGAAATTGTTTTTAACTTCCTTATTGATTTGTTGTTTGGTTTTGGACAATGTGGAGATAATTGTAAAGAATTTCTGTTTCTGAAAAGAAAAGTAGGGGTCACCGAACATCCAAGATCATCAAATCCAGGCAAAGCTATAGCAATGGCCATCTGCCCTATCATTGTTCATTTCATCACTTATCGTAAGCTCTCATGCATGACGTGATGTGTGAATTTGTGTGCACAGTAAGGATTCGCAGAAACAATTAGCACAAACATCCTTAAGGCTACACATGGTAGAGCGACTTTCAAGTGATGATAATAACCACTTTGCAAAAGCAGACACAACGTCAACCCTTTTTACATGCTTAGTACATTTGCTCTAACATTGTAATAGACAGAAATGGAAACAGTACAGAACTAAATCAGTCTTTTGTAGGGTCTGAGTATATTACAAAATGTTACATGCATGCAATGTGCAAGAACAATGAGGTAACCTGCATATTACATTGCTGAATGATCCACTGCTTTGTAATAGCGATGGCTTGCAGTAATAGCTCTACAATGTGAGATAAACCACATCCCTTTAAATGTGTACCTGCATTGGCACACTATCAACTTAAAGCCATGTTTGGAAGACACATTCTGACTTCCAAAACAGTCATAGCTGCATCCTGGTCCAACAGCTCCAATACATACTCTGGTGTTATGTGGTCTACTTTGTCCAGGAACAGATGCTCAAACAATTCAGGGTGTTTCTGAATTGGGGTAGCACATCAAGCACCATGAGGCCCTTTCTCATTTGATCCAGCAAGATCTTCTTCTTTGTAAGAACACTGTAGGTTATTAGTAATTGAACAACATCCAACTTATTGGAATCCTGTCAAAGCAAGATTGAAAGCTAGCAAATTAAGGAAACTATTGCATAAACAGAAGTGAGTCCTTGTACTTTCTAGGCATGTGGCACCTTCATATTTCACAAAGAAAATAACATGATACTAACAAATATAAGAACTGACATAAGACCTAAGCAAAAATGCAGACAGCTTTGATAATTATGTATAATTTATAATGATAATGATAGCAATAGTGAAATGTGATCTCTCATGCAAAAACGTACATTATGGCTATCCATTCAAATGCCTAAAAACTGTTTGCTTGCCGTTTGCCATCTGTTTGTAATCCATTCATGAGCGATGGGATTTCGTTTGAAGGGATTGGATCATCCGTTCAGAAAAAGTATCTTATGGTGGGCCTTGACCAACACATCGGTCGACACATCAATTGAGATATCAGTCGATGTCTCGATTGATACTCTACTGATACTCGGTCCATACATGGTAGATATGTCGACCGAGTGTCGGTCGACAATAAACCGCTATATCGGCCGACATATCAGTCTATATGTCTGTACACATGTCGGCCGCTATAGTTGATGCTTCACCGATACTTCACCAATACTTTACCGATACTTCATCGTCACGTCCCCGAGTATATCGGTCAATATATCGGTTGCCACTCAGTCGATACCTCGATCGGTACTCTACCGATACGACATATTACCGATACATAAACAGCGGCTGATAGTCGGCTGATATCTCAATCAATTCCGAACGAGTATCGGTCGATGCCTCAATCGATACTCCGTTGACAAAGAACCGCTATAATTACAACACAATATGTGTGGACGTTATTTGTTCTGAGAAGCGAACTTTCTTCCGAGAGCAAAGCTCGAGAAAAACTGTGAGCTTATTATCCTTTAAATATTTTTACACAAGGCTGGATTTGGGAGACCTTTTATTCTGTCGCTGCTCAAAATGTTAGTCTATGCAAAATGTTTAGTCCTATTCATTTTAACAATTTTCCCGGGACGAGAAACTAAAACGCAAATTTCGGCAACTGGGAATCATCACTTGGGGAATATCCATATACCACACAAGTGAATAGTGGTTTC